CCCCAAAACCCCAAAACCCCAAAACCCCTTTACAGCTTTCTAAAAAATAAGAAAAATATTTTCTCAAACTAAATTTTTCAATGTCTCAAAACTAAATTAAATGAATGGAATTAATGCTTACCTATCTACTTTAGCGCCTTAATAAATAATAACTGGAAGCTCTTTGACTTGATACATCTATTAAATAGGTTTAAAGATATTGCTTTACCTCAGAGATACAGTTCATATATTCACTCATTTCCCTTGGCAGCATTCTATTAATCTCAAACATTTCTGCCAAGACATCTTTTTGTGTCAAATAATCCTCCATCTCTTTCGTTTCTTATTATGAGCTATCACAAAAAACAAGAGCAGTTGATTTAAATTCACCTTTATAGTTTAAATGTTCTTCCACCATATCCTGAATCAGCCTTTTATAAAGAGGGTCGCAATAATTCTATTGAAGGTTCCTTTATCTTTACTTTTCCTGTGATTTAACTGATTTCTCAAACAATCTAGCGAAGATACTTTGCTTCTCTCTTTGCTTTTATGCATCCATAATGGCTTTAATCTCATTGTGATGATCTGCCCTGAAATCTTAAGTCATTAGAATATTTATACATTTGGGGAGGAGTGCTTTTTTATTAATCTTGAGACATTTTTTGTGTATTTATTGGCTTAAAATTATTTAATTAATTTCAATAAACAATATGGTAATCATTGTTTCCCAACTCAATTGATTTAACTAAGTTTTCCAATTCAATTTTAGGTAAATTTTAAGAATAATTGCTATTTTTCTGAATTTACTCTTTCATGTTCCTAATTAAATAGTTCCTACTCTAATTTAAGATTTTACATCTGCTTTTAAAGTTATATCTATATCTCCTATATTTTTTTCGCTTTAATTTTAATCTCTTATTCTTCCTATAGTTTCTATTTATAGGTTTACAATTTTTTCTACACATCTTATTCCAAAGTCTGCTTTAATTCGTCAATCTCTTTATTCATTTAATCCATGCTTCCTTCTATTATTATTTCTCCTTAATACTATGTATCAATTTAGTTTTCTTATATAATATTCTATTCTATATAAACTTAATCTTTCTTTTAAGCTATTTGCTCTTATTTTATTCTTTTGATATCTTTATTTATTGTTTCACATGAATCATTTACTTAACTGTGAGGAGGCCCATATAACTCTTCTTTAATTTCAAACTACTAAATTTCTTAATATAGTTAATTATCATAACTTGAATCTTCTAATGAATTTTACTCATTTTATATTTAAAAGTCTGATGAATTATCATTTCCTTCGGAATCATCATCAATTTAAGACTCATCTTATTCTTCAAATTCCTCAGATTGATTAGACTCGCAGTTCTATTTTTCTTAATTATCATGGCTTTTTAAAGCAGAACGATTGTACATTATTCGAAAACTTATTTCGTTTATTGTATACATGAAATCAGTAAGTTAAACTGCATTAAGAATTTCTTATAAAAATTATTATCCGTTTAAGATTTTATAAACAAGTCCTTTATAAATTGCAATCCAGTGAATTTACACTTAAAGATAAAATAGACAGATATTAATAACATTACGATTTCCTCTAATCTCTAGATATAATCAATCAAAATCTAAATATCTTCTAATATCTTCTAACAATGTATAAAGATCATAATCAAAGATACAGTTCAAGTTTAATGTTTCTTTATTTATATCTAATTTAATCTTATTTTACATCTTTTTGCTAAAATAATTTTCATCAAGATTATGAACTTTAATTTTAATAAATGTTAGAGTTAAGACATTTTGTACTTCTATTTCGCTTTAACAAAAAGACAATTTTGGAGTAGATAATTTGAATAGATTCTTGCAATATTTTATTTTTTTCAAGTTTAAAATTCGTTATTGACTAGACTATTATCTGCATTTTCCCATCTTAAAATAAATTTTATAAAAGTAATTATATTCTGATTTTTTAGGGTAAGTAAAACTCCTCTGAAAATAGTTATTTAATATGGTATCGTGATTAAATTTTTTTATAAATTAAGAGTCTTAAATCTAGGTAAAATTACAATAGTAGACGTATTTTCCGTAATGTTTTTACTGGTTAAATTCTTAATACTTGATAATAAATTCATTTAGAGGAGAATTTTCTGAATTTAATTTTGTAATTTCATCAAATTCTTTTCTTCTCATTGTATAGAATTCATTTTAGTCATTTTAAAAATGTTTTTGCATTTGGTTTGTATATATCATTTGAGGACATTATTATTTTGTTTTTATAATGAGATCCTTTTCTTTATTTTGATCTAATGACATTAATTTTTTTAATTTTCCTCTTGTTTAAATGTTGATTGAAACCATATTCGAAATTTGATCAAATTTTCTTTTATTAGAATTCATTAATATATTTATTTACAATTTTAATTAATAATCTGCTTAAATAGTTCATCTGTGGGGTTTTGGGGTTTTGGGGTTTTGGGG